TGCGCTAGCTAGGTTGTATAAGTGAGATGTTGCGTCGAGAAGTCAATTGTCAAACTTTCCGTTTCCGTTTCACTACCGCGAATAAGATACTTTCCGAATGACTGAAGGCTTTGGAACTCTTTGCTATTTCCAAGGGGCTATCAACTTGAGTATTTTCGATTCATCTACCCGACTTGAAAAGGTGTATTTTGTATTTTTTCGTATTTATGTATGTATAAGTTTTGTGTATTTTTGTATTAAAGTGTATTCAATTCATTATTAAATGAATTTTTCGTGTACAAAGTATTTTCGAGGTTATTTATTAGGGTATTTTAGTTTCAGCGTGTACGTATTTACGTATTTTTTTGTGTATTTTCCGAAGTGTGTATTTACAATCCAACTGATTTATGAAGTTGATCGCCCCTCAGCTATTTCTGGGACAATCATCAAAAAACATGCTTGTTTGCAATTTTTTCGACGTCTAGAAAGTTGTATTCGAGTATATTTCAAGTATTTTTATAATAGATAGTGAAATAATGTTGAAACATATCATATTAATTGAATAACATAAATTATAAAAAAAAACAAGAATTTGAATTTCACTTTTAGGTGGATAATATTCTTTATTTTTTCAAACAATTTAGCAAAAAAAAAACACATTACTAGCAAACATTGAATCTATTTTAACAAAAAATCATCTATTTGGAGATTTGGCCAACTTTTTGGGTAAAATTCTCCTATGCGAGTCGGACGCTGCACGGCCAATCATACCAACTCAGCGACTGAGATTAATTGACTCAGAAAATTTTCTTTCCATACGAAATTTACTCAGATTTGGAAAAAAAATAAACTGCAGTTACTCACAAGCTATGAGTAACTGCAGTTTATTCCAAATCTGAATAAATTTCGTATGGAAAAAAAATTCTCTGAGTCAATTAATCTCAGTCGCTGAGTTGGTATGAATGGCCGTGTGCGTATCAAAGTAAAAAGAGGGGAGTACTACCAAAGGTCGAATTACAAAAGGCCGAATCACGAAAGGCCGAAAACACAAAAGGCAGAAGAAAAAAACTCGGGAAAGGGACAAAGTGGACGCGCCTTTTGTCAATTTGTTTTTAATAAATTAAATTACATTATTAAAGTAAAGTTTCAATAATTATTATTCTACATCTTCTAAATAAAATATAATGAAAGCTACTTCAGGGGATAGATATAAGTACCGTGGAGGCACCATATTTGACGCAGGTCCATATTTGACGCACTTTTGAATTAAATCCAAGTTTATTCGAATTTCACGCAGAATTATACCTTCAAATGAATCGAAGTATTTTTGTTTACGTTTATTCTTCACACTCGTAAAACCAAATTGTCTGTTGATCTTTAGTAACGTCAAAATAAAAGCAAAAGAAAAACATCGTCTGTCAAGTGCGTCAATTTTCATCTTCCATAACAAAGGAACTAAAAAACGAGTTGTACAATTTTTATTAGTTTGCATATAAAAAATCAGTTTTTAGTGATAGAAACATCTGTAACTGTAAGAACGTATGTTTTACTAGTGATCTGATGCTTGCAATGTTACTTATTTATGTTTTAATCAAATTTTTCGACCGAAAACTTGTCGTAAATTTAGGCTCATACAGTTCCTAATTATTTTCAAAACGAAAACATGGGATCCTAAATTAAATCCGATAAAAAGTACATAGTCTACACCGAAGCTGAGCTTGGAAAAGGTGTTGACATGGCGCGTAGAGGTATATCTATCCGGCAACAAGCAAATTCTGTTGGCGTTCCAGAGGCCACTGTTCGGCGAAAGCTGAAACAATCAAAGAAGCGTTCACGGGGGAAGCCAACGGTTTTGGCTGGCGGAAGAGGAAAGGACTATAATCGTTCGGATTCGCCCAAAGATAGAAAACATCCGTTGGATACTTTCTTCAGCTGTCTGGCAGACCTAACCCTTTTACTGGAGGAATCCCCGGTCGTAGGTGGTTGTTTTTACGACGCCAGCCTGAAATATCTCGACGCGTATCGAGTGCTCTCTCGAAGCAACGCACTACGGTTTCGGAGAAACAGATAAGACATTGGTTCAGTGAAGTTGATTCATTTATAAACAATGAAAAGCTACAGCAAGTTCTTGCGAAGCCAGAATGTGTGTTCAATATGGACGAATCGGCAGTTAGGATGGTTCCGACAAAAGGGCAGGTTTTTGCCAAAACTGGAGAAAAATATGTTTACACGAACAACGGAAACTCCGAGAAGGAAAGTTATACCGCTTTGTTTGACGGGACGCTTGCTCCACCGTTGATTATTTTCCCTCACAAGCAACGTCTTCCGGCGGAAATCGCGCGGAGTGCACCACCAGGTTGGGCTGTTGGAAGAAATCAATCAGGATGGATGACTCAAGAAACATTTTTTGATTATTTGAAGAATTTATTTGTACCGTGGTTGAAAAAGACAGAAATACCGCTACCAATTATTGTTGTTGTGGATGGTCATTCCTCTCACGTATCGTACCAGACTGTTGAATATTGTCGCGCGAACCAGATCTCTTTGATTTCCTTGTTCCCGAATTCGAAACACGTACTCCAGCCATTGGACGTATCCTTTTTAGACCATTGAAGGTCCAATGGAACAGACATCTTATTGAGTATCGAACCTTTTTATTTTGGAAAAAGCGGTTGATAATATGAAGAAGTTGTAACCCATACTTGTAAATGGTTTCCGCAAATGTGGAATCGTGCCGTGGGATCCTAATGCGGTTAACTATCAAATGCTTCTTCAAGAGCAAGATAAGCCCAATGATGAGAGGAACGGGAACTGGACAAAAAAAAAACAGCGAACTATTAAGGAAAACAATGTACTGCGGGGTTTGGAATCGCACCTCAAGGTTGGACAGCTAAAACTATTTGAGAAACATCAGTCAAGCTTGATTTGGCCCGGTCCTGCAAATGATAGCAACCTGTTCTATGTTTGGCAGGAGATGAAAAAAAAAAGGCAGAGTCGATTTCTAATAAGCATGATAATCAAACAGACGGTTTTTATGGTTTCGGAAATGATGAAATTGAAGGTACCAATTCCTGAATATGTTTTTAGAAGTACCTGATGGGTTAATTATAAATATTGATTTAATTTTAGATGATCGGATGCGCACCTTGTCAAGGTGGGACAGATTTCAGATCACAGAGAGCCCAAGCAATGACGAATCCGTCAGATGTACGGAAGGACAAGAAGAAAGTGATAATCTTAAAGAACCTCCGGGAGGGCCAATAGAGACAGAAACTCTTCCAATGCTTCCGGAGAAGCATCCAGATGAGCATGCGGAGTCAGAGACATCATACGACTTATCTCAATCAGGTTTATCTGAGGAAAAGGAGAATCTGTTCAACAAAGCATTTTTCTTGCCACAAACAACACCCAAGGTGTCAAAGCTGCACGTAAGCGTCCCCGTCCACCGGCTGTTGCTACAAGTGAAGAATATAAAGGATGGTATGAAAAAATGGAATCGGAAAAGAACAGATTCGAGCAGAGAAGAAAAAGGCTAGAGAGGCCAAAAAATCTGCAGCTTTAAGGGGCCGTAAGAGTCTAAATCTAAAGCTGCTCCGAAAAAAATCAAACTCGTAATTTAATGGCCCTGTTAAGTTTTTTTCCAATATGTATATTACAAAAAGTTGAATAAACAGTAATTATTTGCTTAATTCACATCATGTCAATCAAGGCACGTTGCGAAATCAGTGCGCCAAAATCAAGAACATAGGAACATTGTTGATAAATCTATGTCTACGACATGGTCTTAATCTGTTCCTGAAAGGCCAAACTCATTAAATAAATAATATAATGTTATATACCCGCTACGCATATAACAATATATTCAACAATCGATCATTATGGATTGAATTTATAACATTTTTATAGTGCGTCTTATAAGGAACATTCTGCGTCAAATTAGGAACATAGGAAAATTAGTGCGTCATTATTAGGCACACGACGAACGATATCAAAAGTAATTTTTTCACAACAGTTTTTAACAAGTTCGTCAAGTTTTATATGTTTCCCCTATTCTTAGATGTTACAAATAATGGCAGGCAAAATTTCAAATAAATTCATCGCGTGTTGATTTTTTAAATCAACATTGAATTTGATATTTCCTTAACTGCGTCAAATATGGTGCCTTCACGGTAGGTCGGTAAAAAAATTATGGGTTGGTATACGCACACATTTAGATTTTTTTAAACTTGTTTTCAGAGGGCATCAAAACCTGCGTCAAAATATACATTTTCAACTGTAAAAAATAAATAAATATGAAGACATTTGGTAATACAATTGCTGAGATATTCTTATATGAAGTTAGTGGTTTGGAAAAAAACGGGTCACACGATATCTCATCACTGCTTTGACCAAATCTGCTCATTTTTTGGGGTGAAGATTCGTTAAACAGGTCCCATTTGCATAAAAGGCGGTTTTTGAAAAGTGAATTTAAAAAAAATATTAAAAATATTTTCATGTTTTATCATATTAAAAATCGTCAGTTTTTTTTTTATTTTTGTATTTAAAAAAGGGAAATCGTCATGCACACGGGATACATCTTGAGTCTTTACCCCAAATTTCAGCCAATTTTGTCCACCCAGTCCTGAGATATCGTGGGACCTGTAAATCAACTCAACGAGAAAATCCATCTTTAGACCTCAATTATTTACATATCAACATTTCACCTCAACACGTGTTTACTAATGCGAATACGTGTTTACAAATACTAACACGTGTTTACTAATACTTTCTTTATTAAAGTCAATGATGATGTTTATTGTTGCATTTAGAGTACATTCAAACAATGATACTCGCCAGTATATTAAAAAAAAAAACTTTTAATGGGTCTACCCCGTTTGGCATATGTACTGGGAAAATGGTACTTTGATAAAGAAGGGAATATTCCCTTCTTTGAACATTGAATGCAATTTTCCGGAAAACCATCCCTTTTGAAGCCATAAAGTAGAACGTGATATTTGCTACTCAGAAAAATAATTCATAGTTCTTCGCTATGTTTTGCCAGATGAAATTTATTGCTGTAATCAATCAATGTTAATAACAGCCTGTTTTTTGGCATTCATAGAAGCTTGAAGTCCTTCCATGAGTACGCTCTGTGCCTTTTCATCTTCATTGGCAGCTTGGCTTATATCGGCCGCAGCAGAGATCATTTCTAGCAGTCCTTGCACTTCCAGAAAATCTCCTATAATTTGCTCTTCTTTCTTCAACCTTCGCGAAAGGTTAATGAACATTTTACCGACCTCCGTTCCGGCAAACTGTTCAAAATCATCCTCATAGACATCTAGCAGTATGTTCGCTGCATCAACCAGAGTTGGGGTGAACCGGTAGTCTCCAATATTGCGCATAAGGAAATTTATGAACCGCACTAGAAATGAGTGCGCTCTGCCTTTCAGTGCCCTGTCCAATCCTTTCCGTCGAATCAGTTCCCTTATCAAGGCAACGGTTTTCTCGGGAGCTTTTCCCATCACGACGGGCAACATGACACTATCGAGGGCCTTGGAATACTCGTACTGTCTCAACATTCGATCGAACTGCTCAATTCTATCATGACGGAATTCGGAAATTTTCTCATCAGCGCTATCGAAAATGTTCTCGTACCTCGCCCGTGCCTTAGATTGACGAACTTTGCTTTTCGCGGAATCATCTCTATCCTTATCGGCGTCACGCCGATGTATGGCTATCAGCCCGTCGACCATTCCTGTCACGAGAGTATCGTCATTTTTGGAGACACCCAAACTCAACACTGCATTGGAGTTATCTATGGTGTGTACTACTTGATAAGTTGCGATATCGTAGATCTTAACGTGTCTATCCAGACTTCCAGAAAGCAATCGTTTGCCATCACTAGCAAGTTGCAAGCAGGTAATAGTTTTATGATGCTTTGATAATTGGGCAATCTTTCTACCACCTGCTAGCGCGTCGTAGACATTAACTGAGGTTCCTCCAGCACTTATGAAAATGCCGCCACTTGGTAGAAAGATCAGTGACTCTACTGGACTACCATGATCCAACGATAGTACTTTCTCCTTTGTTCTTGTGTCGTACATGTTTATTTTCTTATCGTAACCACCGGAAACAATTATGTTAGGGCTCACGGGACTCGTACAACCAGCGCGAATGTAATCCGTATGCTCGGAGAAAGTGTTGATGTGTTTTTCTGTGGCGATATCCCAATACCGAACGGTTTTATCATCCGAAAAGCTGCTTACGTGATGTCCATCAGCGTTGAAAAATGTTCGATGCACCGGAGCCTTGTGACCAGTAAAAAAGCGAAGGATAGACTTTGAGGAGACATCGAAAAGGCGCACTTTTCCAAGGTCATCACCAGCCACTAGGAGGTTGCCATCTTTCCTGAAAGAACCTCCGTGTGCGCCTTCTTGAAACTTGCTTATATTTTTAACCACTAGCTTGGTCACCGGATTGTAGATCTGAACACGAACCGATGCGGTCACTGCGAACAGATACGGTTCAACCGGGCTGAAATCGATGTAGTCGATTGCTCCAAATTCCTTCACCAACGTTGGTATCTAAGAAAGAGAAAGCGCAACGGAAGGTTTATTTGTTCAGTATTAAAAATAGCGAAATATTATAGGGTACTGCGGGTTCGATTCCTGATCTAGTCGAGAATGGTGTAGGTTGGAAATGTGATTCTATAACATTCCCCAGAAAAGATGATGAAATTAGTAATTTATCACTTTTTTTTACTATCCCGAAGGGGCATTATCCCGAATCCCTTGCGAAAAACTATTGATTATATATTTTTCTTATATATTCAAAGAAGGGAATATTCCCTTCTTTATCATATATCCAAAGAATTAATTATTTCTTTTCTTATATTTTCAAAGAAGGGAAAACCCTTGATCCATTAAGAAATTTTTCTCTTCTTTTTATATACGCGCTAGAAGATTCCAGGAGTGACTATAATAAACAAAAATAGTCAATCTAATACATGGTATACTTTTCTGGGGAATGTTATAGAATCGAAAATGTCCTCGACTTCCGCGTTATACTGACCACAATATAAAAACATAACGCTATAAGGAAACTCTCAGTTAACAACTTAGGAAATACGCAAAGCAAAATTCATGTTGAGGACAGGCATAAGTTACAGTACTAATGCAGTAAATCAGGAAGAACATATTGATAGCACATGATAATTGTATCACGAAATAAGTATTGCAAGCATTGCTTCTACATATATATATGCTTACCCCCAACTTTTTCCAGTAGATTGTATCCGGCGACTGTACTGTCGCTGTTTTGGCATAAATCTGCGCATTGGTCTTCTTAAACTTTGACATATTTATCAAAACTGCGGCTACTCTTTGCTATAAGCTTAACAGAATCAAAAATCATGAAGCACAAAGCACAGAATTTTTTATTAAAAATGTAAGCGCCTCTAGTGGACCGCATGCACGTGCGTTGATATATGTTTTTGTTTTGATGGGCGCCTGCCGTGCCGTGTGTTTTTGTCTTTTATACCGAAATCCAACTCTCAGAGCTGTCACCATGTGTGCCATGTTAGCTCATGATCATAAAAAAAGAGAAATGCAGAGTTCTCGCGTAATATTTGAAAAGGGCCTATGTCCAAAATGTAAACAATCCAGAAAATGAATTGTAAATTTTTCCGCCAGTATTTAATTCCTATATAAATAAATTAAAGTATTTTAGGCATTTATATTGTTCACAATAACAATAGAAACTATATCTCAGTACACAACATCCAAAACATGCGAAACGTTTTCAAAAATACATGAAAATCGATAAAAATTTAATATCACAGTAATAAGCCTTTTTGTGAATCTTTAAATGGTTAGGCCCTTTTTGTTAAGCCATTGTGCTTGTCATCATAAATTGTAGGCCCTTTGCTAAGCCTTTTCTTAACGTCAAATAAATCATCGGCCCTGCCTCAAGCAGTAGGGCCTAGCTTTGATTTGAAATGTTTCAATCATCGGCCCTTCTACGTCGCTAGGCTTATGAATGGAACCTCATCGAACGAAAAAAAATATATGTTAGGCCCGAGGTTAAGCCGTTTTTGCATGAATGATTGGAAAAATTTCGTGGATCGGCCGTTTTAAAAATCAAGTTATTTTTAATGATTTTTATCGATAATGCGGAACATTCCTATACGACTGGTAGCTAATTACCAGTGCTACAGAATGGTATCAAAAATCGGTTTGTTTACATTTTGATCATAGGCCCTTTTCAAATGTTACGCGAGAGTTGTCATCTTAGTCCTCCCGTAAAAAAAATCCAATAAAAATACAATGATTTTCATTGTCATTGTAACCCCCTAATAAAATTTGTATGGTTATTTTGCTTAACGACGTGTTTGGGGTATTATCCAAACCATTTGTGGAAAAGTTCAACAATTTGGGTTATCGTTCGTGTATGGTATTTATTTATTAGGGCCATGATATTCACTGTCAAAACATTGTACATTTTTGTCCATTATCATAAAATCACAACGAAATTTATGGTTCACAACAATGAAAATCATGGTATTTGAGAGATTTGCAGTAAAAAAGGGGGGTTGTTAAGCATCTTAAAAATATAAAAAAGTGATTTTTCTCGAACAAATTTGATCTCATCACACTAATTTTCGTTGTTTGAGCATTGTATCGTTAAAAATCGAAATCTTTTTTTTCTCCCGTACAAAAATTTAACAATAAATTTTAATGTACTCAAAATTCAACAGTAAAAATCATTGTTATTTCGTTGTTTTATTATAATTATTTTTTTCGGGCTCTTAGATCTTAGTAGATGAAATAAAAACAAATAAAAAATGCGAGGATTAAAACAATTGCAAGTCTGCTGATTATTTAATGAATGATATTTAAAACAAATTTTCCTTACAAATTGTATTAAAAACTATAATGAAAGATGAATTCAAAAAGTTGTGTTTTAGAGAAGCTTCCCTAATAAAATTGTTATGGTTATTTCGCTTAACGACGTTTGGGGTATCATTCAAACCATTTGTGGAATAGTTATATTATTTGGGTCATGGTTCGTGTATGGTATTTTTTTTTATTATGGTTGTTTTGTCCTGATCATATTCTGTTTGACAATGAACTTGGCAGCACTGGTGAATAACACTCGTCCACTCACATAAAAACATCAACATCAAAAACACGTCACTAATTATTGAACAAAAATTAATTTTTTTAATACTCGTTGTATTTTAGTAAATTCGTAGACAAAAATGGTAAGGCTAAAGAAATGTATGTGCTCATTAGATTTTCACATAAAAATAACAAATAACATTCCTTCCAGAGTGCGATATTCAATTTCCAAAGCTTACTCTCGTTGCTCCTTCTGGCGATATGCACCTGTGCGTATCTACGATCTCTGTTTCCTTCATTTATTGATAGAAACAAAACCGGGTATTTTAAATATTTTCGATTTTAAAATTACACATCATTCATGTCTGTTATATCTATTCTAGAATGGTTGGTATATTTTGGAAGCTGGCCCGGATTGGTGAACGCAAGTCTCCGTGGGTGGCTCTGGCGTGTGTTATGATGGCAGCATCGATACTATTCTATACATAACCGAAGCAAACAAGCACCTCGTAAGTTTTCCATAATACCCAATAAACTATACATTCAGTTTAAAAAGGTTTCGACTGGATCCGAACTGTCTTGGGTCCGTGCTTCATACATCCCTAGCTAGACTTTACTTTAATACAAAGTGACCAGTGAACCGGGAAAAAAACTGGGAAAAGCCCGTGAATTTTGAGAACTAATTAAATGGGAAGATAGTTAAGGGTTGTGTCCTCAGCACGACCATATTATTGACGGAGGACTATAAGATTGTTTTTGTTGCTCAATTCAATAATTACACAATAATTGTTGGTTTCTCGCGTAACATTTGAAAAGGGCCTATCATCTTTTGTAAACAAAACTGTATAGGCCCTTTACGCACGAACCGAATTAGGTACACTAATTTGTATTGTCCAGATGACGCATTATTCTACGAAACATTTGAGAACAAAAGTCCGGGTCCAATTTTTTGATCCATAGGCCAACATTAGAGCCATTTCCCCTATATGGCATTGATATGCATTAAAACTAATAATAGGCCTCTAAAAACCGCCATCGTGAAAAAAGTATTGATGATGCATATTTTAACATTTTACACGGTCAGGTATAGGATCGAAATATTTAAATGCTTCTATTTCTCACTTTTCTTAAAATATTTTTTTTTCAATTATTCTACGGGATAGGAAAACTCAATTTGATTTGATGAAAGTGGTAGATTTCGACTTTTCTTCCTTCACAGTAACACTCAAATTAATTTTAAGTACTTCATTTGAAAATTATAAGCAAATTATGCGCAATGTGGTCCATTCTTGGGATTGGTCTATTCTGAGGAAGTAGTGGGCGTTGGTAAAATTTGGATCTTTCAGCTATAATCCTAAATAGGACTTAGATTATTTCCTACTCTAGTACATAGATTACCAAACTGTGAGCCGGTACCTTCCGTATTTTTTTCGCCTCTATTTTTAAAAATGTTTCTTAAATTTGGGAATCCTTCAATGAAACTTCTTCTACCAAAGAAGAATTCATTTCGCATAAGTTCGATGGTTGTCGAGAGGTAAAATTCTAACAAAAGTTGTTGAGCTACGTGAAGAGTTGGCGATTTTTTTAAGGGAACTTTTCAGTCATATTGCGTGTTAAAGATTTTTCTCTGAAGCTCGGATATATCTGATATTTTTATAAAATTAAACCATCTCAATTCCGGAGTGATTTGAGATTTGGGCGTAATTGCTTTTGTAAACAAACACGTCAATCGCCGATTTCTCGTCAATAAAAGCTCAATCTCGTAAACTAACTATACCAAATGATAGAGGAATCATTTCTCTACCTCATAGTGTTGTTAGTTTTCGAAATTGAGATTTTATTCGCGAGAAATCGACGATTGACGTGTTTGTTTACAAATGCAATTACGCCCAAATCTCAAATCACTCCGGAATTGTCGCATGTCAGGTAAATATTCGAGGTAAAAACCTTAGTATAGACTCAGTATATCTTCCTCCGAGAACTGCGATCTCTCGCCAAGGTCTCTCAGATATCTGCTCAGCTTTATCTGAGCCTCGGTTGATCTTAGGAGACTTTAACCAACAATCAATACGAAACTAACGATTTTAAATTGGCTCACTACTTGACTAGCCTATTGGTCCCAAGCAAACGATTAACGTTCCCCATTCTAGTCGAAATTCTAGTACTACGCAATGTTTGTTTTGATTCGCTATGAAAGTTTGACAGATAAAATGAGGGGTTATTGGTTTTTCCTATGTTTCGAGGGGTGATTCGATTAGCTTGGGACCGAAGAGAGTACCATAGCTGAGCCAAAAAGTTGAGTACGTTATTTCGGGACCTTCTAGTCTTAGAGTTACCTCTATGCTTTAACTCCCACGGTACAGGCTGGGGGGAACTGTACGATGACAACCACTCAACCCTGATATACGACCTTTGCGATAACTTCAATATGACAAGTAACACGAGTGGCCAAACTTCCAGCAAGAGAAAATACATAAGACCTCTCCCTCAGCTCGAGTTCGCTATCGTTGGATTGCTCGTGGAAAGTAATCCAAGATCTCTACGGTAGTGACCACTTGCCAATCAAAATTTCTATTACCAATGGTTCATCGTCCACCCATTCGGTTGATATCGTTGGCAAAAATTTGCTTTCGCGGTTCCTGGTGGTACTAATTCGGTTAAGATACTCCCTCCGCTGGATGAGTACTCTTTTTTTATCTTGACTTATCATTGATTGCGCTCTTCAAGCACAGACAAAACAAGTTCCGGGTGTTTCCGTTGGCAAACGACCTCCCACTCAGTGGTGGGATAAGGATTGCACCGACGCGAACAGTGAGAAGTCCGCCACGTTTAAACGCTTCCGCAAACACGGTAAGGTCGGGGATTTCGAGCGGTACACCGACCTCGAGAAAACTTAAGGGCTTCATTAAAGCCAAAAAACGCGGTTACTGGCGTAGGTTCGTCGATGGTTTGTCTCGAGAGACTTCCATGAGAACACCTACTAGTATAGAGATAACTCTAAGACCAGAAGCTCTGGTACCCTCTTCGGTCCCATGCTAATCGATGCACCCCTCGAAACATAGGAAAATACATGAACCCCTAATTTTTTCTGTCAAACTTTCATAGACCTTTTTGACGTTTATTTGTCTTTCTCTATCTAGCACACAGGGATAAATGGATGGTTTGTTTTCCCACTAATCTGTTTCCCTCTTACTCGCACTCCTTCAATTTAAATGCTGCATTAGTGTGCGCCGATTAAACGTCAAAAAGCTCCATAGCGAATCAAAACAAACATAGTGTAGTACTGGAATTTCGACTAGAATGGGGTACGTTAATCGATTTTCTTGGGACCAATAGGCTAGTGTCAAGTAATGAGCCAATTTAAAATCAATAGTTTCCACCGGTTGCTACTAGTCTTAGAGTTACCTCTATGGTTATAGCGTTATAGGGCCAAGCGCACCTGACCTGCAAGCACCATTGCAAGATACCTTGATACAATTTGTCTACTTGGGCTTTGAAGCTGGGTATCGGATTCTCTGCGGAGAAAACTGAGTTGGCTGTTTTTTCTAGGAAGCATCATACTGCACAGTTACAGCTTCAGCTAATGGGTAAAACAATCACCCAAAGTATTTCTTTTAAGTATTTAGGTCTCTGGTTCGATTTCAAATGCACATGGGGAGAATATATTGCGTATCTGAAACAAAAATGCCAGTAAAGGATTAATTTTCTTCGTACAATTACCGGAGATTGGTGGGGAGCCTACCCGGAAGATCTGATCAGGTTGTACCGAACAATCATCCTTTCGGTTTTAGAGTCAGGCAGCTTTTGCTTCCAATCCGCAGCAAAAACACACATCCATACATACATTCGGAGAACTTTGAGATTTGGGCGTAATTGCTTTTGTAAACAAACACGTCAATCGTTGATTTCTCACGAATAAAAGAACAATCTCACGAACAAACTATACCATATCAGTGCTAACATTTGAAAACGGCACAAAAGCCATTTGTATGTTGGGAAATATCGGATATTGAACAACTATTAAAGGCGAGATTTATCGAGCAACGTTTTTATTTCAATGTGGTTCAATTACACGCTTTTAGAAGAATGACGGACAATAAACTTCTGGTTGCATCATACGTTTTTCAAAAGAACATAGTTTGTTTGCTCTCTAAGTTGTCGTTGTGCGAGGGACGCACTGATGTAGACGGCATGTGGTGTACTTTCCAACACTCCTCCTCACCATGTGCCGCCGCTGTCCTTTGTCTGTGACAGTCCCAGCAATCCTGATAATTTCTTGAGTTTTGTAGTTCCAAGGGGCTTAGTTAGCATGTCAGCCACCATCCCTTCAGTGGGACAATATTCAAGTCGCACAGATCCCCTGTCGCACAACTCTCGAACATACCTCTCCTTTGTCTCAATATGCTTTGAGCGACGGCTGATTCGATCTGATTGCACAAACTGGATGCATCCTTGATTATCTTCCATAATACATGTCGGTCCATCCAAAGTTTCACCCATGTCACTAAGCAGTCTTCTCAACCAGACAACCTCTTGACTGGCTTCTCCAAGCGCCACGTACTCAGATTCCATTGAGCTGAGTGTGACACAGTGTTGTAGTCTGCTGCCCCAAGAAATCGCCCCTCCAGCATAGAGGAAGACATAACCCGTTGTCGACCGACGAGTACTGATGTCACCAGCCCAATCTGCATCCGAGAATCCTAGTAGTCCTTCAGTATCGCTCTTGTACACCAGCTTAGCACCTTTCGTTGATTTGAGGTAACGAAGCACCCTCTTCGCCGCCACCCAATCATTTTCAGTAGGAGCACACACCTTACGACCAAGTATAGACGCACTCACGGCTATGTCTGGGCGAGCACACACAGCGACGTAAAGTAGGGCACCTACGAGACTCCGATAGGCCGTGTTGTCGAGGAATGGTGAGCTAGTATCCATCGACGAAACATACCCAGTATCCATTGGGCACTTAGCAGTCTTGGCAGTTTGTAGTCCGAATCTAGCAGAGATTTTGTCAATGTAACTCTCCAGGCAAATACTATATTTCCCGTTCAGTCGTTGGATCTCAAGGTCTAAGAAGAAGCTTGGCTCTCCTAAATCGGTAATATCAAACTTTTCACTCAAAGCTTTGGTCACTCGGCCAATCTCCAATGATTCCATGCAAGCGACAAGTATGTCGTCGACATATACCAGCAAGTAGGTTCTCAATCCATTAACGACTTTGGTGTAGAGGCACTGATCCGTTTCACTTTGCGTAAATCCCAAATTCTGCAACACGCTATGTAAACGCTGGTTCCAGCACCTGGCTGATTGCTTGAGTCCATAGATGCTACGACGAAGTCTGCACACAAGTCGTTCTTTACCCTTCTCAATGAAGCCAGGTGGTTGTTTCATGTACAACTCTTCAGTTAAGTTGCCGTAAAGGTACGCAGTCTTAACATCCAGGTGGCGAAGAATCAGATTTTGTTGAGACGCCACTGCCAACAAAGCTCGAAGTGTGGTTTGTTTGATAACGGGGGCAAATGTTTCTTCAAAATCCTCCCCGTACTTTTGCGTGT